GGGGGGGGGCGGGAAAGAAGACGAGACACGGGACCATCCCTGCAGCATGTGAACCATGTGGCATGCCACACCAAAGTTGGACAGCCCCACATTACAGGAAGGTGCTAAGAATCATAAAACCACTGATCTATTTTAGTGGTGCTGCAACAGCAATTTGAATGGTAACATGGACTGCAAAGAGAAAGCATAAGAAATGACCATGGGCAAAGCACATCTTGATTGTTTCCCCTCCTGAGTATAAAAGGAAATAAATCTGTAAAATGGTTGGGGCAGAGATTCAGTCAGATTGAGAAAGGAGCAAGATGCACACATACCAGTTAAGGTGGTGCCTAGCTGCTTCTGGGGTTAGACTGCAACTCCTCTAAACTAAGAGGACATTTGGAACTGCATTTATTTTTTTGCACTGTAACTTCCTGAAAAATTCTGGGATATTTTTTGCTGTTCCTACCAAGAGGTTCAGATCACTTACAGCGAGTGTATTAAGCGTACAATTACCCTTCCCTGGAAGTGGACTTCAGAGGAAAAAGGTGACAAACAAACTCATTACTGTTCAGTACTACCTGCGCACGCTACAGTTTTAAGACGGACTGTAGGGGATCTTGTAGGTCTTGGGATTCCCCATCACAGCTATGTAGACTGGAATCTTACCCTGGAAGTTGGAGTTGGTCCCTGGGTGGTTTTCCAGGACATACTTCTTCAGAGCTGTAGTGGAGCAGGTCTTGGGTTCGTTCATGGCCGCTACAGCAGACAGGATGGCATCTTCCATCAGAGTTCCACCAAGCAGGGGCTTCTCCCCTGATTTCTTCAGCTATTTTCCAAGGAGGAAGAGAAAAGCATCAAGACAAAATTCTCCCAAACCAGGTCAGGACAAGACTCCTCTGCACCAGGTGGGTCGGAGCTCCTGTATTAGCACAGATACGTTTTACATTAAAACGTTGTATCAGGAATGCTACTCTCCCATGCAAGGAGATGACAAGGTCAAGGTCTTGCAACTCAACTGCCCGGAAAACGGTTTCTTTCGGTTTTGCTGGCAACATTGACCCATCCCCCAAAATTACACCGCAACTACGTTCGTTTTCAGCTCATAGCGATCTGCAGAGACTATCATTACCCCCCACTAACTAAACAAGAACCACTGAATTTGCTGTCCTTATGCCATTGCCATGGGCGGAGGCCCCATGCACATTTGGGACTTCTAGAAGTAGGATCTATAGTTACCCCACCATCCTGCCCTATTGCTCTGGGGAGCTGGAGCACTAGTTACAGTCTACAGATCTCATCGAGGACAGCCAGGTGCTCTGCTCCAGAAACGCAGGCCAACAGGAGGCCAAGCATCCTAACGCTCCATACTCTAAGAACTGCTGCATGTCAAATCACACTCGGCAGGCTACTAGGGAAAAGAGTAGCCCGACCAAGGGTTATGAACAGTATAAATGATAAGGGAAAGCAAAATAAGATGAACTCTGGCTTCTGACCTGGAATGTTCCAGAAGCTCCTTTGCCTGTGATCTGTTCTAACTGGCCCTTCTCTACTGCTCTCTGAAGAGCGTTCTTCAACAGCTGGGGTCTGAAAAAGATGGGCAATAACTTACTACCACAGGATGAAGACTTTGCAGAAGACACTTTACCAGGACTACGAGGAAGCATCTCTCTAAATTCAAGTAAGTATTACAGTGGATAACTCTCAACAAGTGCTGACTACATGGAAGGAGTAAATACACATTATCCAAACTCAAGTGGACATTTCCTGGATAAAAGTGACAAGAGAAGAAAAGAAAATCATGCTTGAAGTTTCAGCTTTAAAGCCAATTTGGAGGGAAGACAAAAGGCAGGGGAATGAACTGTGCATAGCCTGTTGAGAGACTTGGGATGTGAATACAAAGCCCTTTCATTTGTGATGTTAAGCATACTCTGCTGGATTTGTGTGTAAATCAGCCACATGGACAAACTAACTGGCAAGTTGTTTGTGTGTCCTTTAAATTAGGGGGTGGAGGGGAAAGCATAACAAGGAGGTAGGATAAGATACAAAGAAGAAACCCTGAAATACTGATATCCTTAAAAATAAAGAGGTTCTACTTGCTAAAGGAGATGAACTGAAGACGATGCTGACTTAAGTCTTCAGTGGTATCATGGGGTGTAGAAAGATACAATATACAGTAAAATCACAGGAAACGTCACTCTCAAACTTTTAGGAAATCATCACAATGTGAAGCACAAAAATACCACTTCTACCATTTCCAAGTCTTCACAAAAAACCCCAAAACATGCAGCCAAATTAAGCTAGTTTTTCAGTACTGTTTTAGAGACATTATAAATATGGACCCGTAGCACATACCTTATATCCACCTTGAGTTTGGGATAATACTGCGATACATATTTTTTTATCAGGCTGTAGGAAGCTTCCTTAGGCTCACAGAGGCGTGTAAAGGCCAGGGGAAGGATGTCTTCTAGCTTAACCTGCTGCTCTGGAGTGGATGCAGAGGTACTTCTCTGAAATATATTTAAAAACACATATGTACACACACACAAACACACACAATCTTTACACCCAAATAGAGAACTTGAATGTTGCATTTTTTTAGTCAACTACATGTACATGGACAGAGGTGCTCTTGAACTATTACAGGTTCAGAAAACCAATGTCAATTAAAAAACCTTTTTATTGTGAGTAACTGTCAAGGGTCACTGTCAATTGTGAATCCATTTGCCTATTTTCATTTATTGTAAGTCACTTTGAACCCTTCTGGATAGGGTGGAATGTGAAATGCAGTAAAGTTTGGCAGGAATTTTTAAAGGATGTTATTGGATTTGGATGCTAGGGTTTAACATATGTACAGATGAACTAGTCTCTCCTGACAATTTGTGCTTTTAGTTACTTCTTCAAATCCTCCTGACGTCTGTCCTCTCCTTCCCTGTTGCTGTGAGGAAAAAAAAAAAAAAAAATCACACAAATAGGTGAAAAACTGACTTTACGTTGATGTCAACACACAAGCAAGCACACTGAAAAGAGAGAGGTCTCACTATCCTGTGGCAGTTCTAGGAGTGTTAGGTGTTACATACAACACCACCTCCCACCCAAATCCGAAACCCTGGAGTGCAATTTTTTGAGACAGCATTCTTTTAAATCAAGCTATTACATTCCTTCCTGAATATCCCTTCTCCGGCACTTCCACAGAACTGGGAGGTGAATGATTAGAGTGGAAATCTGCCCAAAATACCTGGGTGAAGAATCTTTGGAATAAGTGCAGAAATGCATGGCATTTTACTTTGGGTCACTGACATTCTGCAGCAGATTTTAACAGTTATTCAGATGTGGGGACTGCACATCCAGACAGAGTTCTAACAAGGCTAACCTGTTTTTTTGCTTTTAATGAGCCTGTTCGCAGCTGAAGCAGGCTGTCACCCTACAAGGAGAAAGCAGCCAAGGATGCGTACATTGATTTCCTGCAGCACTGTGAGAGGACACGATGCATTAGCAAGTTATCAGGTGCAACACCACAGCTTTATTTAAAATGAAAAGAAAGCCTTTGCATCCAACTTCCCTCTTTACAATCTATTGTGGCAATCTAGTGCCAATACACAAGGCATTCTCAACCATTCAAGGATCTCTGGTCTCCTTGGTAGCCAGTAGGTAAGTGCTTATGTCAGTGTTCACTGTAATGCTCTGTTTTAAATATGTGGATTCAAGTGTTTGACATCAATAGATATTCTAATAATGCAAACTGAATGCCACCTGATTGGCAGTTGAAAAAATAAACGTTTCATACTCCTAGCAACAGCAAGGAAGGATAGGAAAGCAATGACAGAACCATTCTTAGGAAAGACTCAAATGCAAGAATCCCACTGGATTCCTGGATGCAGTACAATACACACATTTCATTTGTGACACCCTTCAAGGACATGGAAGGCTCTGTATTCTGCTGTTTCATTACTGATGGTGTAAGGGGCCAGTCTAGCAGGCCGGGAGGCAGAAGTCCTCCTTTAAACCATGTAGCATATAAAAGAGGAGCAGCAGTAGTAATACCAGGATCCCCATGTTGCCTGGAGGGATCTATCATGGAGGCCAGAATCCAGTCTCCACTGGTCATGAGGCCACTCTGCATTTTGTAATATTTTGACTGTATGCTAGAAGGTACCCCAGTGTCTCTGAGACAACATTAATTATGAAAAAAAACTTATCCAGCTTACCTTTCTGTCTCTGGATTTTGGAACAGTTTTCCCTGCATTAGAAACAACCACAAAACTCCCAGAGGCTCCTTTTCCTTTCACCTAATTCAAAGAAGAATGTCCATTCAGTTCACAGTGAGAACGTATATTAACTTTCAATAGTGATCCAGTAAGAGAGACCATAGTATTTCAAGGCAAACATTTGGATTAGGTATTCATACACTGGACTGCTATGCGAGAGACCAGGAGAGGAGTTTTCCATCTTTTTCCACTGAGGGCCGTATACCAAGCCTCAGAGAAACAACAGTCCTTTAAATAATAGGGAACCCTTCTGTAAGATCAGGGAACACTTTTTGCAGGCAACAAAGAATTATAATACCATACCCTGCCTACCCTAACCAGATGATCCCGTGATGCTGGCAATTCGATATCACCAACACAAACTGTTTTTAAGAAACATGACTAAAGTTGGTAAATTTCCTGGGAAAATATGAACTGTTGCAATACCATAAACTACGCTTCATGATCAAGAAACAGACAATTGTCCACACTACTGAAACTTGGGGAATGAGTGTCACAACACCAAAATCTCATCTGCATTCAGATACAAAAGGAAGAGTAACTTTCGTGAAGGATAGCAAGGTCAGCCCAGTGACATACTATATTTCCTTGTGCACAACATACCCGCAGATAAGATATAAGATTATTTTTCAAAGGATGAATGAAGAAACAAAGATGTTTCCTTGAAAATACTGGTAAGTAGTGGTCACTGAGTGGCAGCTTCTGCAGCATAAGCCTTTGCCAGACACTGTTCTCAGTGCAATTCATGCAGCTTTATTTTCACTTTCCTTGGCACAAGCGGAAACAGATACCACTGTATTTCTTCACTTACACCATGCATCCCAAATTCCAGCAGCTGAAAGGGGGCCGTGCATGCTGCATGCCATAAAATACATTAATTATTGGCTGTTTTCTTGGGTTAGGTGGGAGTTTAACAATGTGCTGTTTAAAGAGATACTTACCTGTCTGATGACTCCCCTCTCCAGCTCCCTTTTTAAAGCTTGCTTCAGAAGGTAGCCTCTTCTCTCAAGCTCCAGGGAAGGGTACTTGTGAATGATGTATTTACGTATTGCGACCACTGACGCACCACTTTTTTGAAAGCATGCCTGAAACAGAACAGACGACTTAACAAAAACTACACTCACTAGAACTATCTTGCTATAGGGCTGGAGGATTAAAGAGTAAACCGATTGTACACGTAGGTGCAGGTGACATGGCTCCATGAGCCAAATCTGGCCTGTGAACTGGAGGTTGAGAACCCTTATTAGAGCATTTCTTCTATCTCTTCCTCCCCTGGATTTAGATGTACTGCTGTAGACTGCAGTGGCTGGAGAAGTAGAATCTTTTACAAATCAAGGCTGTTGCTCAGGCCCCCTGTGAAAGCAGTGTGCACTGAGCAAGTCCTAAAGGGGAAGGTGGCGGGGTTATAACTAAGACATGGATCTCTGGCAATAGCCATAAGTAAAAATACAGCAGATCAAAGCCATTTCTGAATCTGTTTGCAGTATTTTCATCTATCTTAGGGCCAAGATGTTCCATCTTTGGGGATGTGAGGGGTGACAAAAAACCAACACATAGAAAATAGATGTGCCTATCTGTAAGTCAGGGAAACGCACTGAGCACAGCGGATTAGCTGCTGCCAGCACTCCACCAAATCATGTCATTGCAATCATTTCTAGAAAGTTAATCACAGGGACAAAGTCTGGAAAATAGAGAACCAAAGAACCCTTCTGCTACATCACTGATTCATTTAACTTAATCAGTATAAGAAACACAGTTTTGCACATTTACTAGCCCCAAATGTAGTAGCTGGAAAGCTGTAATTGTGAATCTTAAGAATTCTCAGATGTATATAAAAGAGATTAATCTTGCCGCAGAGATGGGGCAAGATGTCTTCTACTTGCCTTAATGGCCTCAGTTAAAATAGCATCCATCTTGGGGCGCGAGGAGGAAGCCATTTGTGTTTGCTTCTGTGCTCTAGCTAATTGGCTGGCAGAAAGGGTGGCCCATGCTGGAATGGTCTTCTTCACTTTCTTCTCCTTTTCTTTAGATGGATCCTTTTCGCTTAGGAAAGAAACCGTTATAAGCAAGAAAAAACCACTATGCATTAAACCCAACGAGTAGAGTAGCAAATGTGAAAAATAGTTGCAAAAGGCAGCCTTGGAAAGGACTAAAAGATGGAAGAAGGGATTGTGTAGATAAAGCACTCAGGATTTGGGATCAGAGTACCAAAGCTACACTGAGAGAAGGCTACTGCAGGTCAGCTTCTGAGATCATCCACATCCCCTTAAAGACCAGACCACTCTTCTGCGTAAGTATCAAAAGGTGCATAAGATTAACACAGACAGAACAAACCAGAAATCTTTCCTTATCCATTCAACCAGAACGGTGCCCATACTACACAATACAAGTTTTACGTGTAATTTGAAACCACAGTTGCACTTGGAAAAGCCCTGGGAAAATTATGTAATGCAAACATAGCTGTATTGGCAAAATGGAGCTTTTACCAGCACAGCACATTTTACTCGGTGAGCCTGGAACAAGTTACACTGGCAGAAGCACAGTACACCTAGTGCTCTCAGTATAAACCTGGTCCTTGAGGTGGCAAGCACAGATAACAAGGAAGATGATGTAGAAAGTGTCATACTCCAAGTGACAGCCTTACAGGAACTGGCAGAACACACCAGGCCTATCATGGTATACTTGCAGTGCAATTTAACTTCTGCAAGGACTCTGGAGGGAAGAGACAACAGTCCTAAGATGGCTTCTATAATCAAGTTTGATAAAGAGTGTGTGCAAACACCCATTTGTTTGTTGGCCTAGCAAAATGGAATGAAATGCAGAAAGGCTATTTCAAAGCAGGAAGACTGTTTGTTGAGAAAACAGGGGTGGGAGTGCAGGAAACAGCTTGTAGGAGCCTCATGATTCCACCTTTGCAGAATGACTTCTAGTGCAACAACATGCTAAGTTCCTTCCCAGGAGCACAAAACAAAGGCATCAACCATTATTAATGTATCCTATTCCACATAATTCCTGTGGCCAGACAGGGAAGAGAAGTGGCTAGCCAGTAAGTTCCCAGCCCTTGTGTGTTTTGGAATCACCTAAAAAAGCTGTGCCTTTTCAAATGCATAAGCATGGTTCGGTGCCCCAAGAGCACAAATGATCTTCAATCTC